TCTTTGTTTAGTTGATCTCTTCCCTTTGTGCATGTGCTTTCCACTAGTCTAGGTCTCATTGTCAAGTTCATGTTCCGGATCTTTACTTTGTTGAAACTCTTCTCCATTGTGCATGTGCTTTTCACTAGTCTAAGTCACATTGTCAAGTTCATGTTCCGGATCTTTACTTTGACGATCTCCTTCCCTATGAATAATGTGTTTTCCATTGGTCTAGCCTCTCCTTGTCAAGTTCTTCCAAGATATACTTATTCAATCTCTCTCTCTCTCTCTCGCTCTTGCTCTCTCTTGCTCTCTCTTTCTCTCTCTCTCTCTCTCTCTCTCTCTCTCTCTCTCTCTCTCTCTCTCTCTCCTCTCTCTACCCCACTCAGTCTCTCCTTTCGCCTTGCCCCCTCTCTCCCTCCCCCTCACTTGGCATATGACTAACCTCTTCTCCCCTCACTTGGAAACATTGCCAGGGTACGGACGGTAAACGAAATGAGACTTCACTTGGTGGAGAAAGAGGGCAAGGGGAGGGTAGTTGGTCGCTTATGCCATCAAGGAGGCAAAAGAGAAAGGACATTTGAAAAAGTGGGAGAAAGGCGGGATCCGGAAGGAAGCATAAGTTGAGAGAGAGGTCAGTTTGACTCAACCATTTCCCCGACTGCATGAATATGAGAAGAGGATGGGCTGATTGAACAACAAGAAGGGGACAAAGCACAGCCAAAGAGCATGGAAAGAATAAGCATGTGGGAAGGGCTATGAGTTGACCCGCAACGGGGGACATTGTATGAAACTTCTTGCTTGTGTGGGATTGTGCAGGTAAGTAATGGCTAAAAATGCCTTGAGCGGGATAAGGGCAAAAGGAACTGGGCACCAAGAGGAAAAGGGAAGAGGGACAAAGGGGCTATGGGACCCTTGACATAGAGCCAATTCATGAAAATGATTTTTGCACTTGAGACTTGGAAGTGTGATTGAGAGTGCAATCGTACCAAGGAAAATGTGATGTTGTGTGTGCATGCATATGAGGACCCCGAAAAGACTAAGGGGCCTACTTCAATAAGGTGGGAAGCAAATCGTGAGATTCGATGGATGCGTAGAGGCGAGGGGAAGGACGGCCCCGCCGCACCCCGATGACGCCCTATAGCCAAAATGCTTAGGGAAATGGTGCGTGGCCTAAGGATGACGCTTAGCCTACACACAAGAGAAGAGAAACGCTCAAAGAACCCCTGGACTGCCTGCGTATTGGAAGGAGCAATTGCTTGAGAACACAATAAAGAATAAAAAAAAATCAGCGTTGCGGAACGACCAGCGAGACTACCACCCGGCGTGAGGGTTGAGCTACATCCCCAATGTCAAAGCTCTCTCGCGCGATGGCCCACCCCCATCCATCTCAAAGCACTAGGTGGGGGTGACCTTGGGACGAATGGCCCGCGCCCTGAGCATGAGTGTGGGCGGGCCCAGCCAACTGGAACCCGCAGTGGGGTCGACTAAGGCTCGAAAGTCTACCGGGGTTTGGCCCTACAACATGCTCATGGCACAATTGCGGGATTACTTGCACACTGCAGTACCGACTCCGTTGATGGACGCCGGAGTAGAGGTTGTCGACGTTCACGTCTACATTGCGAAGATCGACCGCGAGTTCAAGACGCAACGGTACGACGACATCGACGCACCATTGCTATATGTACGCATTTAGATCGGAGAAGCGACCTGCAACGCTTTGATCGATTGCGGAGCATCTCGCAACTACATCAGCCAGGACTTCATGGTGCGCGCCGACCTTGGCCCACGCGTCCGGAGGAAGCCCCAGCCTACGCAAGTCACATTGGCAGACGGTCGCACGCACAAGTCAATCGACCGGTGCATTGACAGCGTCCCAATGTACTTTGCCCCTCACGCAAGTGAGGCGGTATCCTTTGACATTCTGGACACCAAATTCGACATGATCTTGGGCATGTCCTGGCTGCGAAGCAAGGATCACCCGGTGAACTTCTTCAACCGCACCGTTCACGTTCGTGACTCGTTCCATGCACGGTGCCTCTTCCTCATCCTTCGATCAGCTGCCACATGGTATCCGCCGCAAGCATGTGAGCTTCCATCATCAGAGACGACATCGAGGAGATGGGGGTGTGTTTTCTCCACGCCCTCCCGGCCCATGACGCTTCATCGACGGACTCACCTTCGGATCCACGCATCACTGAACTTCCCAACGCCTACAACGACGTGTTTGAAGGCCCGCACGGAGTAGTACCGGATCGACCCATCTGCCACGAGATCATCCTCGAGGACGGGGCCGTACCTCCGAGCGGTTGCATCTCCCGAATGAGCGAGGAAGAGTTGAGTGTGCTTCGGGCACAACTCGACGACCTTCTGGAGAAAGGCTGGATTCGGCCTAGCTCATCGCCATACGGTGCTCCTGTTCTCTTCGTCCGGAAGAAGAACAAGGATTTGCGGTTGTGCATCGATTATCGCAAGCTCAACGCGCAGACGATCAGAAACACCGGCCCTCTCCCACGCATCGACGATCTTCTCGAGCGACTGGGCGGCACAAAGTTCTTCTCCAAGCTCGATCTCAAGTCAGGATATCACCAACTCGAGATTCGCAAGGAGGACCGTTACAAAACCGCGTTTACGACGCGATATGGGCATTTCGAATGGCTAGTTATGCCATCTGGCCTTACGAATGCCCCGGCCACTTTCCAAGCGGCTATGACAACTAAATACGGACACATGCTGGATCGATACGTACTCATCTACCTCGACGACATCCTGGTGTACAGCCTGAGTTTGGACGAGCATGTGGAGCACCTGCGCACCGTTTTGGAGCGGCTACGACAAGCCAAGTACAAAGCCAACCGCGACAAGTGCGAATTCGCGCGGCAGGAGCTGGAGTACTTGGGTCATTATGTGACACCGCAAGGCATCCGTCCGCTCGCGGACAAGATCGAGGCCCTACGAGTATGGCCCGAGCCCACCAACACCACGGACGTTCGTTCATTCATGGGATTGGCGGGCTACTATCAGCGATTCATCACCGGATACTCCAGGATTGCTGCACCTATGACGAGGTTACAGTCGCCAAAGGTGCCATTCGTATTCGATGACGACGCACGCCGATCATTCCAAGCACTTAAGACAGCTATGCTCATGGCACCCGTCCTTAGCATCTATGACCCCACCTTGCCGACGAGAGTGACTACGAACGCTTCCGGCTATGGCATTGGGGCAGTCTTGGAACAGCACGACGGCGACGACTGGCACCCTGTGGAGTATTTCAGCCACAAAGTGCCTCCCATCAACTCGCTTGATGATGCAAGGAAGAAGGAGCTACTCGCGTTCGTCATGGCTCTCAAGCGATGGCGGCACTTCCTCCTTGGGCGTCGTAGGTTC